AAAAAAAAAAAAAAAAAAAAAAAAAAAAAAAAAGGAAAAAGAAAAAAAGACTAAGCTATTTATACAACTTTGGTGGATCTCAAGGACACTATGCAGAATGATTAAAGGGCAATCTTGATTATTACATAGTATATGATTTCAGTCATGTCATATTCTCCAAATGATAACATTAGAGATGGGAAACAGGCTAGTGGCTGCCATAGTTTTAGGGGGAGAAGTAGCAGAGAGAGACGTTTGGCAAAGGACAAACACAGTTCGTACTTTGATAGTAGTGGGTTATGCAAATCCACACCCATGATAAATGGCAATCAACACAGAGTTCCAAGGAAGCCCCCACAACCACAACTATCCTAGGAAGAATAAAGGTGAAGGCCTTGTGATTTCAAAGTTTACAAAACTGCAGGGAGACAGGGAGGCACCAGCATAAAGATAGCATATGGGGAAAGGAAGAGAAAAGAAAGCCCACGTATACAAACAAGTGGTTTTCAACTGGGCTGTCAGGACCACCTGAAAAGTATGATATTTTCAACAAATGGTCCTGGGAAAACTGCATACCCACATGCAAAATAACAAAGCAGACGCTTTCAGGACATGCAAAAATTAACTAAAAATGGACAAAACATTCTAAAGATTAAAACTATGGAACTCTTAGATGAACACATATGGGGGAAGACACGAAATCTGACAATGTTTTTTATACACGACACCAAAAGCACTAGCAGCAAAGGGAAAAAATAGCAGAGTAGTGTATTTGTTCTCATTATGGGGCAGGCTACCACCAGTGCCTTGTGGTCTCTCTGCTTGCTCTCTAGTGACTGAAGGACTGGGACCCCATATCCTCGCCACCCTCCAGGACTTTTCTGCAGGTGGTGATGGACGGATCCCGCCTCTCAGGGAGGGTAGAGAACAGGCCCTGTGAAAAATAAAGCTCTACCACTGAATAAACGGTTTAATTTTATTTCAAAATTGTACAAAAGGCCGTAAGTGGCTATAAAAAACTTTGTCTTCAGAGCACATGGAAATTGAGAAAGAACAAAATAGGCATCGTTCAAAGTGTAAAGGAAGGGCTCTCTCGGAGGAGGAGGGTTACAGCTCCTCCCTCCTCTTCTCTAGTCTCTTGAGGTCTCCCTCCCTGAGGGTTCGGATGAAACTAGTGAATCCCAATTCCTGCAGGGTAGGAAGGGAGAAAAAAAAAAGACAGACTTAAACTCCTGAGCGATGCACACCCTCCCACCCCCTCTACCCCCACCAACTCCTGGGCTGATCCACCAGGAGGCACTGTTGGCTGTGACATAACCCACAGGTTCCCAGCAGGGTGAAGATGTGTCCCACACTGTAAGCATGGAGTGTCCTACTGACAGCTGGGGCTCCTGTCCACCTCCCGTCCCCGCCCTCTGCAGTGGCTACTTCCGGGGCCACTTCACTCACCGTGCGATCACTTTCGTACTTTTCTACAAGTTTCCCGTAGTGGTAGTAGTGGAAAGTGGGGTAGGCCTTCACGGCCTCCTGCTGACACAGGTCCTGATTCCCGTCCTTGACACAGTCCACGGCAGCACAGGCGATCTAAGGGGTGAGGTGGGGAGGGTCAGCGGGGACGTCGCCAGTCGCCACGTCTGCCAGGGGCAGCGCTGGACTGAGAAGACACCGTCGCAGCCCAGTTTTCTAAGGGTAAATCTTTTTGCCGGCACGTTAAGACTCATGGAAAGTAACTAGTCACTTGGTACCTCAGTTTCCTCGGATAATGACCAAACTGAAGTCATCAGAACGTCTCAAAGACCGAGAGGATTCAAATGAGGCCTGCCAGCGCATGACCAGCACATGACCCTACACCCATACACTGCCCCTGCCAGGAGCCGAGAGCCTGGGCAGGACATCGGATAAGGAACATTCTCACCCCTGTGTGATCTGAGCTATCATGGGGGTGGCCCAGTGTGCCAGCGGACCAAAGGCACTCTGCACCATTCACCATCCGAGCCAGGTCCTAAGGATGCAGAATGCCAAGGACCTGTTACGGAATTCGGTCTCACTATGGCAATTGGGTTGTGGTAAGAAAGTTCTTCAAGCGGACTCTGGCCTCTTCCTGTCTACCTTAGCAAGCTGCATATGCCGGCATCTTTTCCTTATTTTCCTTTCAAAGTAAGAGAGTAAAAAATAGAAGTTGTGTGCATGTTGGGTGGGGCGGAGTTTATTTTGCTGACGGCCACACACTGGAGAAGGAGGAGACAGAATCAGCTAGAGGCAATACACAAAGCAGCATCCCTGGAAAGCTGGAATGGCAGGCTTGGATGGCAAGCGAGTCTTCATCTTATGTGCCGAGCCTGTTCCAGATGCTGGGGGGTGACCAGATGCACACAGGTGACCTTGACAAAGTCCAGCCACCGAGCACCTGCTATGTAACAAACGAGATCAATTTAGAGCCTACTGTCTGCTGACTTCTCTGAGACGGTTCAAAGACTGTTGAAGAACCACGGTTCACAGTTCTGCCTGCTGGCTCATGACACCAGGCAGGGGTCTCTTTCCATGGAAGACAGCTCTGAGGGCCACAGTGGTCATGGCCACTGGTCACTGACTATGTGCCTAGGCAAGTGGCTACTGCCCTCTGCGTTGACAGCTAAAGTAATCAGGAGGGTACAGTCCGGCTCCCCTGCCTCTAGAGCACCACCCCTGACTGTTTTAGACAACAAGACTTTTGCAGCGAAGTTTGCAAACTCACTGAACACAATCCATAGCTGGCTCTCAGGCCTGTTCTATTTGGCCCACATAGAACTTAAAAAGAAAATAAATTTGAATTAGCTGCCAATGTAGAAGGAGCCAGAAGATTTAATATAAAAATTTGGCTCCGAGCTCCTCTATAAACATCAAAAGATTGGATGGTACTTGCCCTGTGTTCCCACAGGCAGCGACTGGCTGAGCGGGCATCTGTCTCATCTGGGAGGAGGTTAACCCTACCCTTCACCAGCACCCACAAGGAGCTCAATTCGCTTAGGCCAGCATCTGGCCGCAGTGGCCCGGTCGTCTTCTAAATTGTGTTCTGAATTATTTAGAAACAAGAGGCAGATGCTCCTGTGGTCACCCAAGTGCAGGGTGTGCTTCTCCAGGACAAGCACGTCAGGCTCCACACGGCCAGCAACACAGGGCCCGCAGCCGCCAGCCCTGGGCCAGGGGCCACCGCTTCTCTGCTCAGGGTTTGATGAACACTGCTCCGGGCCGCTGCACTCCCTGCATCCACTTTAAATTATGAATTCAATTTGTATACATGCCCTGGGGCTGTTGGAGATGTAGTGTATGGTTTTATAAATCTGCTAAATTAAAAATGTATACTTGTGAATCCTTCACACTATAGCTGTCAGCTATGAACTCGGAATGTGGCTTTTAGCTTCGAAGGGGAATCCATGCTCAGTGCCTACAGGAGACAAGTGTGGCTGGTATTCTTCAAAAAGACCCTGTTCTCATAGTTACCATCTCACCTTTCTCAACTCCTGTCCCATCAGGACCTACTTGTGATCTCCACTGGTCACCTGCATTCAACGTACCTACAGCCTCTAGCCTTGTTCTCCTGTAGCTGCCATGGATTCCTGGGCTCTGTGTCTGTGTCCTGAAGGATGCTCAGCCAAGGACTTGTCCTGGTACCCAAAGTCTGACCTGACAGCTCCACCAAACCCTCAACTTGCAGAACTAAGGGTAATAATGGGTAAAGGGGTCAAGGACAGTACCCTGGCTTCAAGGACCTTTGAGTGGGACAACTCTGTGGCTCAGGTCCTAGGAGGTCTCCCAAGGGACAAAGATGCAGCTACCCACAGTCACCTGCTCATGTCATCCCTCCTGTGGCTTCTTCCCCTTTCATCTCACGTTCTCAACCCTCTGTGGCACTTCCTGAGATCTCCCAAATACACGGCCCTCACAGGAGTCCCAGCCAGCACAAGGCCTGCTTTCAGGAAACACCAACTGGCAGTGTTTGTGTTCAGATTCTGATGCGGCTCCTTCCCAGCAAAGGAGCTTGTTTCGGGGCTCCCATTTGACCCCTCGTGGACTTCAGACTCCATACCAGTAAAATGAGAACTGCAGTAATACCTAATCCATCAAGCTTCTGCGAGGACCACACAACTCCTTGCTGACAGGGGATAAAAGCCTCCATCAATCTCATTAGCATTCTGCCATTTAGTCAACATTCACTGGGTCTAAAGCAGCAAGACTTTTGGGAGATCTAGAACAAATGAGGCTCATGGGCTAAGGAGTGTCCACTCCGGATGGACAGGAGTGCTCGCTAGTGTCCAGGTCAGAATGGTGACGTGTGCCAGTCAGAGCGGGGCACCGGCAGCCTTGTGACCTCCTTTGGAATGACCTTCAGACTTTCACGGGCCCTAGCCCCATGCCCGAGGTGGGCATACTTTAAAGTACAGTGAGAGGTGAGCCCCTCCTAGCCAGTTCAGCAGTCCCTGGCCTCTGCTCTGGTCCACCTGTCTACCACCGTGGGTCCCTGTCCTCTGGGCCATTCAAAAACACCACCTATTCCAACACTCACGGTCTGTAGCCCTTCTCCACCAGCGTGTCAACTGATAAGGTCCCCAGCTAAGCTCCCGGGAGGGGATTTAGGCTCCCTGGCTAAAACATGAGCTGCCTCACACAGCTTTATTGATTCAGTAAAATAAATCTCTGCAGGAGCTAATATTGACTTTGGCTATGAAAATGGAAGTGAAAAACCAACTGCATATTGATTGGGGAAGGAACGGAGACTGGCTGTTGGGTGGGAAGCAAAATACAAGTCCAGCTGAGAGGTGGCAGCAAGGGTGTGAGGGAGAAGGGGGAGTCAGGAGAGACCCGGCTCTGGCTAGCAATAGCCCGTAGGGCATCCTTGCGCCAAGGACATAGCTCCTTTCTAGGCCACAGTCCCTCCAAAATAAAAGCAAATGGGATGAGCCAATGGTCCCCAAACACCAGTGTACGGCCAGCGTTAAGGGCCAGCTTGTGTAAGTCACCAATTTCTGGAAGCATGCTCCAGAGCCTTCCATCTGATGGTTAAAGTATGGCACCCTGCTTTGGGCACAGAATGGGTACCATTCACCTTAGTTCCCAGAACACACATCGACTCTGGGAGCTGTTATTATTGCTGCTGAGTATGCTAGAAACCTCAGGTGAGTCAGCTTCTCAGATAGACAGACGGAGATGTGGAATGAAGGAGGTTGGACGGAGGGGAAGAGGGAGTGGGGTGAGGCTGTGAACCCAGAAAAGGGCTAGCCTCTGTCAGATGATGAATAAAGATGATCAGTACTAAGGAGAGCTACAGGAAATGGGGCCTGTATAGCAGAGTGAATGGGGAGGAGAGAGGCTAGCTCTAGGTGGCCTATGTGGACCTCACAGGCCTAGCTTCAGAAGGCCCTCGCAGTGGTCTAATAGAAAAAGATGTCATGGCAACGTGGGCCATGCTGCAAGACTTTTCTGGTCACCTTGGTCCCTTAGCAGACCTCCCCCAACCCTGCCCACCACAACCATATGTACCAGAAGAGCAAGTCCAAGCTCCGGGCATCAGAGAGCGATCAGAATCCCTTCGAGGATCTCCTAGAGCATACAGACACCTGGGCAGCCTCAGGGTAGGGAGGCCACCGACTCTACTCCTTCTCCAATTTGCCTGGAGCCCTCAGTATTCTAGCACAGAGGGGATGGACTTGGAGCAACAATGATCGTGACTTTGAGTGACATCTATTCCCATGTTGAGGTAGGCAGTCATGCTATGGTGGACATCATTGGAGCTTCCAGTGCAGAAGCAACCACCAGGTTAGGTGATATGCAATAAAATAAAGAAAGAAAAGAAAAAAGGGGTGTGATCTTTATACTCCCTCCTGGAAGAATAAGGGGGACCTCAAGGACATAGACAGGGTTTATGGGGAAAAGTCAGACTTTGAATACAGGGAAGGGTTTCAAAGTCTAAGTAGGAATCTTGTCCTCCAGGACCTCACTGCCCAGACATGTGCCTGCTCTCGGCCTGTCTTCCTCGACTGTTCTCACTACCCTTTCTCTGTTGCTCCCTCGGGGTGCACCGAGGTGTCCTAGCACCTGTATCTCTGCCTCCACCATCCCGGAGGGTCCTGCAGGCCTACCTTCCTTTTGCCTTTGGCCAAACCCTCGCCATCCCCAGGACAGTGAGCTGTGTGCTCACCTGTGCTGCGTCACCTGCTTTTCTGGGTCAGCCAATTTATTGTGGGAAATCTGCTTAGCTTGTGTCTGGAGCAGCTGAAGGATTTTACAGGGAATAGGGAGCCGTCATGGCAGCACCATGACTCCGGGGCCAGCATGTGTGTGTGTGTGTGTGTGTGTGTGTGTGTGTGTGTGTGTAAGTCCCCATATAAACCCAGTGAGGCCTGGTGTGACCGAGTCTAAGGGCTGAGAACCATCTTTGCAACCATCTCTACCAGTCCCCAGATCAATAAAGTGATAAGAGACTTCAAGGGCTGGGGATATAGTTCAGTGGGAGATTGCTTGCCTAGCAAGAGGTCGGCCTTCAACCCTGCCCCCAATAAACAACAAAAACCTAAAAGAAAGGAACCTGAGGACTGGAGGTTGAGAGGATTTCCTGAATTCTGGGGTCCATCTCTGCTTCAAGGGCCACATACCCACCCTTGCCAGTGGTGGCTCTGCTCCCTGCTGCAGGAAGAGGCCTGGCACCCACTCCTTAATCCACTCTGCAGCTCCAGTTTGTTAATTTTATGCTCCATCAGCTGGTGGCTGCAGGAGCCTTTAGCTCAGGCAGGACGAGGATCCTCCGGCATGGTCTGGTTCTCCCCCACTGCTGCCTCCTCCATTTGACTTTTGTGGGGTTCTTATTTGTATTTTTAATTATCTAAGTAACGCATGACTACGATCCTACTGTAAAAATGTTTGAGCACTAAAGGAAAATGAACACATGGCTCCTTTTACACCCCCTCCTCCACAGAAGGGCTGCCAGGCTTCAGTTTATACCTCCGGTTGGTTTTGCAGCAGAAATCCATTCTGGCTGCCTGGCCAAGAGAAAGAATGTTCTGCTTCTGAGAACGACCCTGCTCACAGGTCGGGGCAGAACTGCACACAGGGTCGGGGAATGTAATCAGAAGAGAAGGAGGTGTAGGAGTCAGAGCAAGGCAAACTGGAGATGGAACAAGCGGGGAGGGTATCCTTACCTTGCGGTCATCTTTGAAGGCATCAGCTGTGGCAGTGAAGTGTGGGATGACCTTCTTACAGTGTGGGCACCCTGGGTGAGAAGGGACACAATGTCACATGATGTCTGAAGATGGCAGAGCTGGGGCAACTCTGGAGCTCTGGATAGTTCCTTCCCAGAGCCCCACATCCTGCTCACCCTGTCAGGGTTCATTTGTTAACCTTGACATTCAAATGTCTCCCATATCTTGACTGTGGGCATGGGAGTTAATGCCATTGAGTCTGGGGACACTCCTGCTCTAGAATTCTTCACCTGCCACCTGGCCTAAAGGGAGGTCTACAGAGGCTGCCCTGGAGACCACCAGAGCTGGAGCCACAGTGCAGAGGGACTTGGAGAGGACCACATGTGCTCAGGACTCAAGTCTACCAAGCTGCTCTCTTGCCCTAACTATTATGGCGGGTCACCTCTCCTGAGGAAGTGGTACTAGAAAGATGGGGTTGGAGGCAGCAACTCTGCCCAGGTTTCCAAGGTTCCAGGCTTCCTCCCCTTCAACGCCCTCTACCCCTTTCTACAAAATCTTAATCTTGAAGGCAACAGTGGATGCCCTTGAGTGAGGCTGGGAGGAAGAAGAGCTACTGCATCATCAGCACCCAGTCCTCGCCCCAGGGAAGAGGCCCTGAGTGGAGCAAGGGCTGTGGCATTCCACTTATGGTTGTTCCTTCCCTATGCATCACTTTGGGCCTGCCTGCTGGAAAGTACTACAGGAACTTATCTGTGAGCCATTTTCTGCTCTGGTCACGGAAGCTGGGGAAGCCACAGGCCACACTGGGTGAAGGGATAAGAACCCAAACCTGCCCTTTCTCACATTCGTTCGGCAGATATGAGTGAACAGAACTGCCATGGATAGACAGCTTTGACCCTGACTGTGGCAGTAATCAATTCCGATGAAAACCGGTGGGAGGGGCCACAGGCCTGCTGGGAGACCTGGGTCCAGTGTCAGCTTCCTGACAAAGGCCTGTGCACTCCACTTCGGGAGGTAGACAGGGCTGACTCTGTGGGAACGAAAATGGCTCTGCTCTTCTGCTTTCTCCTCTTGAGAATGAGATAATAGTGACTGGCATTTCAAAGGGTTTTGTGAAACTAAATTAAGGCTAAGCTACAAATTTAATCTGAATTTAGCATTTGAGTTGGTTCCTGAGATGGGTGGGACCACCCATATGGTCAGACTTGGGGAGCAGCCAGCTGGCCCCAGAAGAGAGGGGGGCTGAGGGGGAGGGACTCGGGGATTTCCCAACATCTGATGCAGGAACAGAAGAGAGACCTGGGATGGTAATGGGTTAATTCGGAATAAATGAGCCCACGTGGCAGCTAACGGACAGATGACTTCTCAACCACCTAAAACGGCAGTTCTCAGTAACACCATTAATTTGGCCTAACAGAGACACAGAGTCAAATTTATGAAAATGTCATAGTACAGAGGAGTGATGTTACATAATTTCAAAACATTTAAAGAGCACAGTCTATTGGTAGACTCATCTCGTGGGCAGCCACAGGCCCTGTGAAGGGCATGGGCCTACTAATAGCACGCTTACAGGGTGGGCTGAAAATAATCTACCCCAGGTCTCACAATCCGGTTTCATTATTAATTTTCCCTTTTTAACCTCCACTTATCGAAAGCATAAAAGCCAACTGTCAGCCCAGCGCGAGTTCCTACGCCATCGATTTTAAAATATTGAGGCCTCAGATGCATGGCTTCTCGCATCTCATTTTCTCATTAGCTAAAGGGTGCGCGGCAGATGACTAACTGGTGGGGTGGCTGGGCCAGAAAGTTCACGGGATGTTTCTGAGAGGTCGAGGGGGAACAGAGTGTGCCATGGCTTCTTCAGATTTGGGGGAGAACAGAGGCAAAGCCAGGGGACTAGAGAATGAGCTGAGTTGGTCCAAAAAAGGCAGTTCCTATGAGCAGATCATGCAGGATGGAGTAAGTATAAAGAGAAGCAGGGAGTAAAGAGAGGCCTGGGGAGGCAGACCTGGGGGAGGAGGACAGTGGCAGGGAGGCCGGATGGGATAGGCCAGCCTTTTTACTTGAAAATTTTATCTGGTACTTGACATTTCTGCAGTATTTAGAGTCTTTATATATAAATGTGTGTGTGTGTGTGTGTGTGTGTGTGTGTAGCTTACAAGTAAGTGTATTACCATCACAATGCACAGAAAGACAGACTTCTTTGTCCTTAAGATTCCACACAGTTCCCCAGGAGTGCTGGGGCAAGATCCAAAGGCAGGAAACTAGTAGGAAATGAGGAGCTCTGAGGACTAAGACTTCATCGGCAGCGGAGTTATTCCGTGGCCCCACTGTGGCCATGAACTGGCATGGAAGAATGCTCTCAGAGAAGGCTGGGAACCCCTGAGGCCGGGCAGGGATAAGGCTCCTCCCCCATATCCTGGGTGCAGTTTGGAGAAGGGAGGCAGACTAGTCTCACCTGGCTAGCATGGGAGGATCCCTGGAGACACAGAAACCTCTAGGTCCTCAGTGAGGAACGAGGAGTGGCCTGGGCAAAAGAGAGGGGGCATTTCTGGGGAAGCACTGTGTCTAGTCTTTGTGAAGTTTAATTGGTGGCTGGTCACTGAGCTGACTGTCGTCCACGGGCTGTTCACAGAGATCACTCTTGAACTGTGCCTGTGGCAGAGACAGAGCTGCCTGGGCTGCAGGAAGGGCCTGCCATGAACTTGCCACAAAGCCTAGAGCAAAAATCCCATGTCTCGGCCCTCCAACCTCTTCTTCTCTGAAGGAGCAGGCAAGGTCTCTGAGGAACTCAGTGAGGGCCTTTGAGAGCAAACCAGAGGAGAGGTCAAGGTTGAAGGGGAGGGAGGCTGCCTGGGTGTGCTGGCTGCTGGAGGGGTGGGGTCTCTCAGACAGTGACAGTGACAATAAGAGCCATCGTAGGCTTCTGACACAGAACAGTGGGGACGGGAGCGAGCAAACAGGAGGGCCTGCCACAACCGAGTGGGTTTACGACTAGACGGAGTGCCTGGCTTCCCTGTAGACAGAGACTTTTATTATCCTCACTCCATTAAGCTGAGCTGTAACCTGGGGGAGAGAGAGGAGGGCAGGAGAAGAGTGGAACACGCTAAGACGCTTTCCCTCTAAGTGTCAATTAACAACTTCAAAACGGGAATGCACGAGAACCCGAGGTCACAAACACCCCTGTTAGCAGACATGTCACTTCTTCAACTTGTACTCTGATTAAAATGAGAATCATGGGGCTTGCAGGTGAATCTGCCTTCCCTGTACTAGGGTGTCAGACTCAAGAATAGATCAAAGCCTTTAAAAAAGGTCAGTGGGAGTCCTAAGGCTTTGAAGACAAGGTCAGTACCAGGAGGAAGAACAGGAGCAGAGGAGAAGGGTGGTGGTGGTGGGGGCGATTGAGTTCGTGTGTAAGCTGTGTGTGGCGTGTGTGCAGTGGGAGGGGAGGGGGTGCAAACAGGGGCGCACAGGCAGCATGGAAAAATCCAGAGACTGGGGCTGGAGAGATGGCTCAGTGGTTAAGAGCACCGGCTGCTCGTCCAGAGTACCTAGGTTCAATTCCCAGCACCCACATGGCAGCTCACTGTTATTTCAGTCCTGGTCCCTATGCCCTCACACAGACATACATGTAAGCAAAACACCAATGCACATAAAATAAAAAATAAATCTTTAAAAAGAAAAAGAAAGAAAAACAGAAAAATCCAGAGACTTTGGGAGACCTAGGAAGCTGGTTCCTACCACAAACAGAGTTTGTAAGCCTAAGCAGAGAAAGACCACCCCAATGAGGACAAAACTCTGCTGGGGGCTGACAGAAGGAAGCAATGAAGTCTCCAGGCCTTCTCAGCCTTTGCTGAGACTGGGGGTCCTGCTTCAGGCACACACGGTTTCAGGGTTGGCCAGGAGCTGCACTGGTATCTGGGGTAGGGACCCTTTCTGACGTGGTAGCGCCAAGCCCTCTCACCTCCCTCCTTACGAACACAAGCTACTCACAAGGCGCGTAGAACATGACCAAGGTGTGCTTCTTCTTTTTCAGGGTATCCCGGAAGTTATCCCCCATCAGATGTAACACACTTGTCTGTTGCTCTTCCCATGTGGGTTCTGGAGGTGGGGGAGCCTCAGGGCTGCGGAAGTTTGGGGGAGGGGCAGGCATGAGGAACTGGCTGACAGACAGGTGCAAACCCCACCCCACGCCCAGCCACTGTGGAACACAAACGAACAAACAACTTTGCATTTCTTCTGGGATTTCATTTTAAAACGTTGGCTTCAACACCAACAAATGTGCACCATCCACAAAGAGGTGGGAGACCTGGGCCCATCTGAACCAGGCACCCCCCAGGTGTGGGTCACCATCCCTTCGGAAGACACAGAACCTCCTCCACCTGGTTCCCTGGCTCCTTCTATCATCTTCTTTGAAGTGTTTGTTCTGGCAGAGAAAGCGCCAGCCAAGCAGTGAGGGAGGCCCGGGCTCCAGTCCAGATTACTTGCAGGACCTGTGACTTTATGGAATGTGACCAAACCTGAGTCTCCATTTGCTTTTGTTCCATGGGACAGTGGTACCCGGCGTAGAAGCGACACAGGGAAGTGTGTGTGAAGCTTCTCGGCCCAGCCTAGAGAAGCTAGGAGTGCTAATAAACCGCAGGCACTGGATACATGTTAACCGACTTCTAGTTTCTGCTTGCCCACTGGTCCCCCATCCCATCCTGCCTCACACCAGGATAAAGCCTGCTGTAGTTCAGATCTGAATGTCCCGCCCCAAAAGTCTATGTGTTTTCAGAGTGGCACTGTCAGGAGGCAGCGGAAACCAAGGTGGGATGTCGTGGGAGGTCTCTTTAAGATTACTACCAAGTAACTATAAAATGACACTAACCAAACCGAGGCAAAACAAACTTTTCTCTTTGAAGTCAATTATCTCAGGTGTTTGCTACAGGAAGGGAAAGCTGACTAATGCTGAGTCTGATTTGTTTATTTTAGAGACAACATCTTGTAATGTGGCTGGCCTAGAACTTGTAATTTTCTGGATTTAGCACTCTGAGTGCTGGGGTAACAGGCAAATGTCAACACATCCAGCTCCCAGGTCTTTCAGAAGCCTCTGCCAGCCTTGCTTCCCCTCTCTGCAACCCAGTGTCTCTTGGCAAGGAAGGCTATGCCAAACTGTCCCTCCCGCTACACTACCACCACAACCCTGTACCGCCAACCTAGAATTCAGTTCAGAGAACCATGGGGCCTCTCTGACCTGTCAACTTTCTACAAACCTTCTAATAGCACTTCCTAACTTCAGTGTCCCATGTCTCCCATAGCTTTCTCTTCCTCCAGTTCTCTTCCAAGCCTCTGCAATTCTCACGAGACTTTATGAGAGGATCTTCAGTGGCTTCCGCGGCTGTGGTAACCATGAATTTTCTCTCTCATCTGAGCCTGCTTCCAGCCGGATGCCCCACTGTGACCTTAAACCCACCCAGAATTGGGACATGTGATTTTTCTTCACGCATAAAGAAAAGGGAAGGGTTGGATCTTGTCACCAGCACAGGGGTGCCTTGACAGCATGGAGAATCTGAGGGAGGCAGAGGACTGGGGAGAAAAATAACATCTGGTCACATGGTTGACAGCACCAACTTGTCTTTTCTGCTTGCCCGCTCCCTGAACGATGTTTCGCTGGCTGTACACTGGTGGACACATCTCAGCAACCCGGGGCTTGGCCACCTGTACACCCAGCGAGGTAAGTACCATGTGCCTTGCCCAGCACTGCCTTCTTTCCCTGCTTCTGAATGAGACCTCCACCTTCCTTCCCACATTCATCTGCTGTCCAACACCAGAACGCTCTCTTCTAAATGCCTCAATGTTATTGCTTGTCTCTGGGTGGTGATCCCAACCTCTCTGAACTTAAATGTCTTCTCGATGAAACAGGAATAAAAAATGCTGGCCTCGGTAGGATTTGTGGAAGAAGAGAGGCACAGTTAAACAGGCCTGGGATTTGGTGCAGGAGCAGAACCCTTCCCTACCAGGTGTGGAGCATGAGTTTACTGCCTTCCTAGTGAGATCAGGCAGAATAAGCCCTCTGCTTCAGAAACCAGAAGGGAAACGGAACACTTTGTCTCTCTTAGAACCCTCAAGAGTGGAGGCGTGGCTACTCAGGCTCCTTTTGGGGGCAGATAAAAATGGGAGCAGCTGAGGGTGGAACTTGGCCACTTCCTTTTCTCTTGCAAGAGGCATCTCCGGGGCCTCATACCATCTGCACTCCTAGTCCACACACAGGGGTTTCTCCAAACGCCATGGCAGGGAGACCCACTCATGGCCACTGTGTCCACACTCAGGAATACGAGCTTCGGAATCTGCACGTCTTTGCACACACTTGCCACACCTGGCATGTACTGGATGCACATCCAGGTTTGAGGAGCGATGCTGTAAGGAAAGGACCTCAATCCAGCTGCAGCCATTCTGCCTGCTTTCCTTGTTGCTCTGGGACTTCAGAGTCTTGCCTCACACACGGGCATCATTACCTCTGTGAAGGCCAGAATACGGCTTCTTTCACTCTCGTTTTTCTCCTGCTGCTGAAATGAGGACACAGCCTCGAATACTAAAATTGCGTATGGACACTGGTGTGCGGCAGCAGTAGGCTGGGCCAAGCTGCGGCTGTGCTGTCGTGATAACAGCTGTTGCTCCTCTAGCATGGCTGGAGGCTTCTCTAGGCTGGGGCATCAGCGTCACAGGCCAACCTCCTATTCACAGAGGGGATACTGGTAACTGAGGCTCAAATTCCTCTGGGTCTTTGGGTCAGCTATGGTAGAGTCTCTCAGGCTCTCTGTATTTGCAGGTGGATTGGGCTAAGTTGCGTCCTGCAGACTCACACGTGGACGTCCTTATGACCCAGGACCCCAGATGGTAACCGTATCTGGAGGTACTAAGATGAAGTCACTACAACGGGTCCTTCATACAGCGGGACTGGTGGACTTGCATGTGGAGGTGAAGTCACAGTGCCACACACAGAAGGAAAGAATAGGTGAAGACAGGCAGAAGATAGCCACTACCATGATGAGTTTTGTCAACTTGTCACAACCTAGAATCACCTGGGAAGGGTCTCAACAAGGGACAGCCTATCAGGCTGGCCTGTGGCCATGTCTGTGGGATTGTCCTGACCACTCTGGTGGATATGGGAAGACCCATGTCAGCACTATCCCTTGGTGTTGGGCCCTAGACTGTACAAAGCAGAGGAAGTGAGGCATGCCCAAATTCTTCTCTGTTCTCTACTGTGAGTGAGATGCATCCCGATGCTTCAAGATCTTACCTTGACCTTCCTACAGCGAGGGACTGGGATGATAAGCTAAACAAACTCTTTCTCCCGAAAAAGTTGCTCTTGTTGAGATATTTTATCACAGCAACAGATACCTAGAGCCCAGGAAAGGCCTCCAAATAACCAACCCCACCAACATCATGAATTGCCACTTCTGGCTTCCAGAAAGCCAAAAAACAATAAACCTCTGACGTTCTGTCAACTAGATGCTTAAGCTTTGTTATGGGAGTCTAGAAAACTAACACACGGCCTGGGGGCTCTGAGAAATCTTTGTCTGGAATCCTGACTCCTGGAAGCCAGCACTGAGGGCATTCCAAGACATCCAGTTGACAACCGATAAACCTGGGCCAGAATGAGTTCAGTTCTGTGATGACAAACAGGTGTACCCTTCCTGTATTCACAGATGATGAACCCTGGGGCAGCGAAGGCAAACACTCACTGAAGCCGACGGAACCATCTAGAATGGCGACTGTTGCCTTTGGATGCGCACAGCACGGTGACTTTAGATTGAGGGAGTCAAATCTCTTGGCTCCTTGGGCCCCAGTTCAAGGACGGGGCTTCTTAAAGTTCACTTCTGTGGTGGTTTGAATGAAAACAGCCCCCACAGGCTCACGCTCACAGGGAGTGGCATTATTTGACAGGATTAGGACCTGTGGCCTTGTTGGAGGAACTAAATCATTGGGGGTGGGCTTTAGGTTTCAGATGCTCAAGTCGGTCCCAGTGTCTCCTCTCTTCTTGCTGATCCAGATGCAGAACTCGCAGCTACCTCTCCAGCACCCTGTCTGACTGCACAGGCGTCATGCTCCCAACCATGATGATAACGGACTAAACCTCTGAAACTGCAAGCCAGCCCCAATTAAATGTTTTCCTTTATGGACATGGTGTCTCTTCACAGCTAAGACAACGTCTCTTCCTCGAGGCCATCTCCAGGGGCGGGCAGTTAGTTAACTAGGTCACACTATCAAAGCCCAAACACTTACTTCTGCATCCACTCAATAAACTTCTTCTTTGTTCTGAGTGCGGGTACAGCCTGCTGCTCGCCGTTCTTGAAATACTTCAGTGTAGGGAACGCAGAGATGTGAAATCTTCCTGCCAGGGCCTCGTTGACGGTGGCGTCGACAGCTGCAAGGACACCAGAGCTCTGGGATGGGGGAAAGGCCAACCATGCATTACAGCCTCAGAAGTGGTGCTGCTGGAAAGAGGAACCCAGGGGCCGGCCCGACCCTCCCCCAGGCCTGGCCACGATCTAACGGTGCCTGGATCTCTGCGCCTACATTAATCACAGGGAACAATGAAACCCTGGCACATCCCTGTCTTCTTAGTGATGGGCTAAGATGAGGCTTCGGAGTCTGCCTCGCCAACCATGCTGGGCAGAACAGGGCCTTCTCCCAACAGTCAAGGTCCCAGAGAACAGAGGGAAATAGGCAGAGGTCCCTCCAGTTAGCTACAGGAACATGGTCTCATAGGCTGTCTGCCCTGTTCTGTACCTGGGAGGGGCCCCACCTGCCTAAACAGAATATCTTTACTAGGGGACACGGAGGCACTGTAGGCCTCCAGGGACAGGAAGAGCCACTTTGGGGCTTATAGAAAATCACACTGACTCTAGGAGCTGGTGACTCTTCAGAGGGAACGGCGAGGATTCAGGAAAAAAGCTTACATCGGCGTCTGCATGGAGGACTTCAGCAGCACTCTCAAACTCTGGCTTCATTTTCTTACAGTGTCCACACCCTGTGGAGAGAGCGCAAGGAGGGTATTTTTGTGGCATGGAGGCTCTGATGTCCCCACGCTGCCCCCCCCACCCCCCCCCCCCCCGGTCGAGACTGGTTAGCATCACTCCAGGAACTGGGCACTGAGAGACAACAAAGAATGCTGTGTAAACAACCATCTAAATGTCACAAGCACGGCATGTCCAGTCCCCGGGAGCTGGCCCTGGGGTAGGGCTGCTGCTCGTCCCTTAAGTGAGTCCTGCAAGGCAGGAACTGACACGGTCACTATTTTATACGTTGAGAAACTGAAGCACCAAGACGGTGGTGGATGGCTGCCTAAGAATGACCAGACAAGCACAGTCAGAGGTGTGCTGCAGCCCCCAGCAATCCGGGGGAGCCCTGCTGAGACAGCACAGACCTGCTGGGATTGTGTTGCAATTGCTAATCATCTCTGGACTGCAGGGTGGGAATAAGAAGACACAGAAGCAAAAACATCGGTAATGTTAAGTTTTGAATCCCGACAGGAAAAAGCACAGGCACAGATCTCCGTATGTCCAAACTAATGGCGTTCCTTGGTATAGAACCTGCTCTGCCCTTGCCTTATAAGCATATGATGTCATGAAGAACAGAATCTGATACATTACAAAGCAAACAAGGGCCAGTAAGAGGGCTCAGTGGGGAAAGACACTGCCACCAGCACTGATGACTTCAGTTGGATTCCTGGGCCCCAAGTGGGAGCAGGAGAGAACCAACCTCTATAAGCTTTCCTTTGACCTCTAGTACACACATATGCATACACACATGCATGCAATACACAAATAAATAAATGCAAAAAAGTTAAAGACATTAAAAACCCAACAACAATAACAACAAAGCCCAGTCACTTTGTGGGTATCATTAGGGGATAAGAGAACTCTTCCATTTGCATTGAAAGAGAGGATTCTGGCTTTGGATGCTAAAGAGGCTGAGAGGTATGGAGGGCTCAACAGCTGCAGGATGCTCTCAAAGGGAGCCCAACTGAATGGGAACCTGACAGAAACGAGGCTTGGAACCTGATGAGAAATGACAGTCTTCTTGGGGGTGAGCTAATTGTGATGGATTCTGGCCATTAGGAAAAATAAAGACAAAAAGAAAGGAAGACAGAAAGTCACTATTATCAGGAGACCTCCCACATCTTCCCTTCCCGGAAGCCACCTGAGCACCTCAACTGACTTTCCTACCTCCAGGGCAGTCTTGCCTAGGATAGGGTGTCTGTGTCCTCCACAGCACCACAGAGCCCGGCTCCAGGAGGCACAGTGACAGAAGACCCTATCCATCCCACTCTTGTCTTCTTCAACCCACCGTCACCCTGTCCCTCGGGAGGGACGAGTGGCTGCAGGGTGGCCATTCCGCTTCCTGATAGAATCCTAGCTAAGCTCCACGCTCCTCTGCGGAGCACTGGGGACAGGACTCCGTGCAGGAAAGTGATGCTGACGGAGTCCAGCTCAGGCAGTAGCTGCCATTGTGTCAATGTGCTGGCTCTTCCCAGAAGGCCTTCTGGCAGAGATATCATAAACCTGGAGGATCCAAAGTATCCAACCAATAGGCAAAAAGAGGAAATAAGGACCCTGCGACTTCGGGTTAGGTGGCTTGCCCTCCTGCTGGGCTAAACCAACAGGGAAGAGAAAGGTTTCAGGCACCGGGCTCTTCCTGGCTGGAGAGAGAGGAGCATGGCCTGCGAGACAGTTTAGTGTTCACAGGATGCTTTGAGGAGATGGACCAGAGGAAGAGAATCCCTATGGCTCCTTCCTCTGTGCTGTGTGTTCAACTGCACACTGCTGGACTCTAGCCTCGGAGTCCGACTCCTCCAAGGCAGGACCTGGAAATGTTCTACACTGTGCCTCCACACAAAGCAAAGTGACCATCATTTATTTCATTGACACAGTAAGTAGCTACTGGACAGCACCAAGAAGAAAAGGCCTAGTTAATCTGAGGAAAAGGGGAGTGACCAGGGGCTTGGGAAGATCAACGGAGGGCACGTATGAATGGACACACACCAAATAAAAAAGCGGCAGGGACACAAGGACCCAAACTCCAGAGGAAGGACAGCCTCAGAACAGATATCCCCAGGCCCCACTCAGGAGGACCCGCACTCCAGAGGAAGGACAGCCTCAGGACAGATATCCCCAGGCCCCACTCAGGAGGGCAGAGTTCTGCTGCAAGGCAAGGAAGACTGTCTCCATAGGTTCCTCTGCAACACTGAGTTCTGGTCCCCAGGGCTGCTTCTGGACAGGGTAGGGGTCATCTGACTCTACTGAGCCCCATCAACTGTAGAAGTGTCAAAGTCATTCTTATTTTGAATTATAAAAACATACTTAGCAGAAATAAACATTTTAGTATCATTATAAACCATCCATCTTTTTTTTTTTTTCTTTCTAAGAATTAGGTTTAGGGGTTATGGTGTGTGAAGGTTGCTTGGTTCGTTTTCACACACAAACATCTGTGCTTTCGGATTACAAGCAGATCCCCAAGAATGACCACAAAAGCTCCTCTGACAGAGCACAGTTGAAGCACATGGAGTAGGCAGTGCTATTTTCCTGTCCCTGCTCCTTCCCCAGGTAGACACGTGCAGCCTGCCATCAGCTGTGGACTCCAAGCTAGCCTCTCTTCCCGGATAGCTGTCTCAGCAATAGGAGACAGGAGAGGTGGCCTCGAAGGTTGAGTCTTGGGTGCTAACAACTCTACAATAAGTTCTTCTTCCTCATGATGCATCGACCCCCAAATTCATGAGTAACTTCTAAGGGATCCCGGGCCCCGTGAACTTGTATCCTAGACTAAATGGTTAGGAGGGAGAAGTGGTCCCTTTCCCATAAGAGGTGGGTGGAGCAATGTGGGGGGCCCTACAGATGTCTGGACTCAGGTCACCTTCCATTCTACAAGATACGTTAGGAGCAAAAGAGGATACTCTGTGGGAAGCTCCACTGACTTAGCGTGAAAAAGACTGTGATTTAAAAGCATTTGCTTGAACTAAAAAGAGAGGAAGAGCTCCTTTGAGGTTTATGGTCGGTCAGAATGGAGAAGTTCCACAGTGCTTACAGGAACCTCGCAGGGCTACCTCCAGCCACATCCCTCTTATGCTCTGCTCAAAGCTCACCCCATTCTCCTGCCCGAGGCCAACCTCCTCTCAGACAGAGTGAATTCACACTGTACAAGAAGTCTTGGAGAAAAGTGAGTCCAGAGACACTCCTGCTGTTGGGGGCTGGGCCTCTCACCCCAGAATCCAGCCCAGCCTAGAGAGAAGGCAGGGAGTGACGGTCGCTGAGCCCTAAACAAGCTGGCTCAGAAAAAGGTCCCCCGATACTCTGTCCCCTGAATGTGATGTGGGTGGCACTGCTGGTAGGGCCTGGACCGTGGGATTGCAACTGAGGTTGGTGGATGGAAAACGGGAAAGCCTAAATGGAAAATTATAGCTTCTTTTTCAATGGCCTAGCTGGTGCGGCAGGATCCTTGAAGGTGAGGGAATTCACCTTGTACTACCTTCATGCCGTTATCAGGTTTGTCCTTTGATGCCACTGCCCCGCTGGGGTGGAAAATGGGCTCTATACCACCTGCCAGCTTCTATCAACAGAGGGCCAGAGGCGGGCTCAGAGACTGAGAATTGGCTCACTGGGCAGAGGGGCTGTGATCGGCCAGTGTCTGTGCTGGGCAAGAAGATAGCTAATAACCTCTAGATTCTTCTGCTCACGTGCACGGCTCTCTCCTGTACTCCCGGCCTCGTCTCTCGGGGCTGAGGAAGGAGGAGTTCGTTTTCTGTACACAACCATTTAAATCAATCCTAGCAGCCCCACGAGACAGAGGACAGAGATCAGAGGGTCCATTTTACTGTCGGAGCTTGTGGCTCTAGGAGATGAAATGTAAGTCCCCTTGGGGTCTTATCTTCATCTTAGCCCCGCCCTGATGGATAGCACCCCTCCAGGCCACCCTTGTGGTCTCCCCTGGCTTGGGCCCCACTTTGAGTCTTTCCAGCTCCATTGATGGAGCTGTTCTTCCAGTCATAAAATGCTTCTTATTCAGATATTCCCACGGCATTTAATTTTCGGTTGCCTTGTGACGGATCAGTGCTATCTCCTGATACTTATGAGCAGCCAGGGTCTCTTTTCACAATATAAATCATATCACATCCCCCTTGCTTAAAACTTTCCAAGGGCTTTCTGCCACAGGTGGTAGACTGAAACCTAACCTCCTCATGATCACCGCCAGCCAGTGCCATCTGGCTCCCTCCTGCCCAGCAGCCTCGGCTCAGCTCACTTCCTCCCGTCCTTCATGATGCAGCCTCTCCCCCATCCCATCAAGCTTACGTCTCCCTCAGGATCCTTGAATGTGCTCCTGCCCCACCTCAAATACAACACCCCTACCCCATCCCAGTTTATGGGTAACCCCTTCTTCTTGAATTCCGATTTTATCCCCTCCGACCCTCCAACCCAAAGAGGCCTCGTCCTATTGTTCTTCCTTCTGACAGTCGGCATCCTCCCCTAATTTTATTCAATGTGCCCCGAGCCGGCTGTTTATCTGGGTCCTGTCTCCTCAGATGAACAGTCGGGTCACACAGGCAGGAGCTCATCTGTCCACTTGATTGACATCCATGCTCTGATGTCAAGCAGCATGCTTTCCGCACTGCTCAGGTTTATACCTATAGACCAAAGTGCCATAGCTGGGATAAGTGTCCCCCGAAGGTGAAGCCCCAGTCTGTGGCACTGTAACGAAGCTGGAAAACCTTGAAGACGTGGGGTCTTGCAGGAGGAAATTAGAAGCTAGATCTCTGGCACTGTGCCTTCAAAAGTGACAATGGACTACAGCCTGTTCATCTTCCTCTGTTTCCCAGGTAACCATGAGGAAAGTCGCCTCCTCCACTACACATTCCAGCCACCATGTTCTGCCCCACCACAGCCTAAAAGGAACGGGGCCAACGGATCGTGGACAGAAACTTCTGAACCGTGAGCCAAGATAGAGAGCTCCTCAATTTTTAAGTTGATTATCCAGGCA